TTTAAGTCTGTATAAACACACATTTAATGTAAATATATAAAGTCACACATTAATACATCTATTTATTGTTGCCCAGCTTGGCCTCGAACTTGCTATCCTTCTGCTTCAGCCTCCTGAGTAGCTGAGAATACTGTGGGTACCACTGTGCTCTGTCAGTCTACCTAATGAATGTTTGGTTGCATTTAATTTTGGTATGGCTTTCTTTGTGTTCCTGTGCAAAATATAGATGAGGAATTTAATTTCGTGCATATAATTTTTGTGCTAGGAAAGAGTCACATTCTTGGTGATGGAGTCATTGGCTCAAGATGAGCAGCAGCTAAGACTCAAAAAACCCCAACACATAATGGCTAAGTGGTTTTTAGTTTTTATTTTTGTGGTAGTGGGTATGGAATCCAGGGCCTCATGCGTGCTAGGCAAGGACTCTACCAGTGACCCATGTCCCCAGCCCTTTTCATTCTACTTTGAGACAGGGTTTCACTAACCTGCCCAAGTGGACCTTGGACTTATAATCCTCCTGTCTCAGCCTTCCAATTAGCTAGAATTACAGGCATGTACCACTGAACCTGCCCTGAGAGCTAATTCTTCACATTAAAAATTGTGATAGTTCATGATACGGTGTCTGGGATTCTCTTCAAACTAAGGTTGAAACGTGGATGGGAGGTGCAGATAAAATGATAGTCACTGGAGTTGGGTGGAAGAAATTTGGGAGTTCATTATACTGTTCTCTTTACTTTTGTATATTTGAGGTTTTCTATATTAGTTTGAAATGAGAGAGGGATAATTGTTGTATCCTAAAAAGTACATGATTTCAATCTTTTAAGTGGTGGATTCAGGCTAAAATATAGGCCAAGTTATTCTCCTGGAGGAAACTGTAAAAATCACAAAATAATCCTTACAGACATTGCCTTGCGTAAATGGTCTCATCTAAGTCTTCATTTTGAAACTGAGGAGTGCGCCGTGTCCTTGGCAGTCAGCCTGCACACAGTCACTGCCAACCTCGCCGACAAGGATGTCTCCCATTGTAGTGCTCTCCTCACGATGTGATTTTTTTCTGTCCCACCACTGAGGTGGCCCCAGGAGCCCTCTGGTACCTGGGAAGGCTGTGACTCTGGCAGGTGTGGTACAGATGGGACTGTAGCCTCTTTCTGGCTCTCTCCGCGTGCTGCTTCTTGCAACTCCACTTTCTATTGCAGCCCAAGCAGCCCTCGCAGCCCTACAAGGAGCACCATGAGTGGTCACAGCCTGTGGCCCCTGTGTAGGTCCCAGCCACCAGACAGCATCCATCTCCAGGTGTGTGAAAGAGTGAGCTCACTGTGGTCACAGCCCACCCACCCAATCACCCCCAGCCTCTGAATGCCCTCTGGTGAGACCCCTCATCTTGAAGCAGAGACAGTCTTTTCTGCTACTGTCCTTGTGAATTCTTACCCACAGGATGTGTGAGCATCAGAAAGTGCTTGTTGGTTAATCCCACTGTTGGGATGATTTGTTACCTGGCAGCGGTGACTGAAACACTGTCAGTGAGGGAGGGAAGAAGCTTCTTTCCCAATGATCATTTCTTTCCATAACATGCTCAGATAATACACAGGTTCTCAGGGACTGCGTTTTAATGGTACTCACAATTTTTACTGTTGCCATCAACACCATGATTTCCATCCTAGGAATTGAACCATGGATCATCGGTTTTCCTCTGAATAGAGTAGCTGTGGCAGGGTATTATTGAGGTGTATATCTTTCATTCTTGTTTCTCCCTCTTCCCCCTCCATCTGGCTTTCTAGAACTTTATGTTTCTACTCCTTCCTCCTATTATTCTGGTTGGAATGGGGACAGAGAAGGAGCCAGTGTGCTCTGGAATCTGGATAAGGAAGAGGGATGCTTGGAAGCCTTTGGAGCCTGATCCCTCAGAAACTGATCCCCACTGCTGCTCTTCTGAGAACCACACCCTTGGTTGCTGTGCACCTTGCCTCAGCTCCTCACTCAGTTGCCTCTGCTCCTCCTGCTGCTTTTCAAAAACAATTCCTATGTGTTTTTCAGTGTGAATAGAATAAAGAGTTGTCCAGAACTTCTTCCTTGTGCATACAACATACTGAAGACTTCTTCATACTCTGCACATAAGATGTTGTATCCAAGTGCATGTCAGGGTATCTGCTTCATTAACTCTGCTCCTGTATTCTATTTCTCAGACACTAGGATGGGTCCACAAATATTTGCTGTGTCTTTATCACTTCTTTTATATGTCATATATTTCATAATATACAAAGGCACATGCACCACTGTCTTTGATACCACATGACCCCTTCAGTTTCATAAATAAGGGTGTTTTCCCAATAGTCCATTTTGTTTTCCTCAAAGCATCTCTTAAGTCCTTAACTAAGTGAATAATTTTATAAGCCTCTCCTCAGTTTTGTAATGTGTTTATTTTAGAATAGATTTTCTCTAAGAAATGCCTCTAAACAATGTTGACAGTCTCTTTCCTTGAGTGATAAAATTAATAGGATGTGCCCTCAAATAAAGAATTTTGTTACATGTTCTGGAAAAAAAAAATAAACAACACTAGAGAGATCCCTGAACAAGATCTCCAGTTGGTATACTAGTAAACTCTCTCTGATGAAACACATATTCTGCATGAAAGCATTACCTGGCTCCACTATTTTTAACACAATGAATTTTAAGTACACCCTCCAGCAGTTTTCTAAAAAGTAGCTAAAACACAATCAGATGCCTATTGCAAGTAACAAAGTAACATGTGAAAGGGAAGCCTTTAAATGTTACTTCCTGATCATCATTTATGGAGGTTGTTAACCACTGTTCTGTGTGCCTGAACAGGTATGTTTTGCATAGTACACTGTGAGTGTTACATCTTTGGCATGACAAGTGATATACTTAACCAAATCCACTGGGAAGATGCTGGTAGATGTATACAATGAAAGATGATAATTTCCTACCAGGGACTATTACTACTGAGGTAGAAAGTTAGAGCTTAAAGAAAAGGTAAGAATGGAGTTGGGGGCGTGAGTTGAATCAGTCACTCTTGTTGACGATTCTGGAAGGAGATGGGCTGGAGTTGGTTGTTAAATGGGCAATTGAAGAGGAAATTTGAGAGGAACTGGAAGGAATTCATCACCATTCTGGTGTTTCTGTACCAACTCTGGAACAGAAAGACTTGGGGATAAAAACATTGCAAACTGTACTTTTACCTACCCCTGCTGTTGAGGTTCATAACTTTCACTGTGATGCTAAAAGGCTAGGTATGGGCAACTGGGTTGGTCTCTAAGCATTAAGAGTGTCCAAAGTATGTATCCACCTCTTTGTCAGTGTGCCTGAGTCTGATGGAATGCCAGCTGGATTTGGAATGTAACTCCAACATTTTCCATATACTGTTTTAGTGTCTATCAAGTTTGATACAGAAATATAAACAGTATAAACAATGGCAGCAAATGAAATGAAGTTAGTGAGAGAGTTCTCTGAGGCCTCATGCCACTCCGATCTCTGTCTGTCTGTCTGTCTGTCTGTCTGTCTGTCTGTCTATCTATCTATCTATTAGTACTGGGGATTGAACCCAGGGGCACTTAACCACCAAGTCACATCCTGGCCTTTTTTTTTTTTTTTTTTGATTCAAGGTCTTGCTAAGTTGCTGAGGCTGGCTTTGAACTTGTGATCCTTCTGCCTCAGCCTCCTGAGTCACTGGGATTACAGGCATGTGCCACTGTGCCTGGACACCCTGATTTCTTTTATAGCAAACAAGGACCTGGGACTAGGGTGTGAGATGAAAGCCCATTAAGATGTGTCACTTCGATAATTTTTAAAAATCAGATGCAGCTTTAATAAAGTAGGTGCACAAGAGAAGGCATCACTGCCCACTTCCTGAATGTTAGCTGAGACTAACGAGGTTCCTAAAGTGCATTCAGCAAGCCTGAGGAATATGACAGCTGTTGAGAATCTCTTAATAGGACCATTGGAGAAAACTAATCATTGTGTAATGTTAGTGGTAATTATGGCTTCCTTCAATACTGCCCGTAGTCCTGCTTCCTATTTGACAGTCGGGGGACCTTTTCTTGTCTGTGGACCTCTCATCCATGAGGACCTTTATTTATATCTATGTCCATTTAGAATTATTCTGTACTTAGGACAGATAGCAGTGTGGTGCTCTGAGCTCTGAGCAGCAGGACAGCTCTTCTTTTCCCATAATTTTATCTGAAACTCTCTGTGGTACAATTTTCATATTTTACTGACAGAGGTCATTTCAACTCATTATTTTCATCACAAGCAACTCATTTATCTCTCCCCTTCTGTTTTACTTTCAAAGGAAATACAATGTCCTTTACTGTAAATGAGGGTGTCACACTACATGGTTTTATCTCTAAAATTATTTTTTCTTCACCTCTCCTTTGTGATTTAATGATTTTTCAGTGCACTCATTATATCGTGTGTATATGTTTCATTTATCACCTGCATGCTGAGGGGTTTTATTTGTGTATTTTCAGATAGGCCAGTTCATTTGTATTAGGATTATACTGTTTTTTTAGGGTTGAGAGAGAATATCCAATAGGCTGTTTCCTCAAGACCCTTGGAACAAGTCCTACATTACTGAGTACTTTGAATATGCTTAGAACTTTAAAATGGGGTTGGAATGCCATTGTCATTGAAAAACAAGCTGAACTTGACTGCTGGCTGCAGTCAATTCAGCATCCTCCTGGTCTAAGTATATCCAGAGAATGATTTCACCACCGTCAGAACCCTTCTGTTAAATTGTGTTTTTCTGCAATAAAATTGTCCGCAATGTCCAGCAGCGAAGTTTGGTAAACAGTTCAGTTTTAAGAGACCAGAACTCTCATTTAAAAAGTACTTGAGTTTTTCCAGAAAATCCATTTATCTCGGCCATCTCCTCCCACCGTATAGCCTTCGTCCCCCAAATCCTCCCGTCTCTTCTTACACGTCTATTTGTCTCTCTGGTGTGTGCCACGTTGGGGAGTCTTGTTAAACCGGCATCTGTTCTGTTTTAGGAGAAACCCGACGCCAGCCCCACATCACTTCAGCTGCGGTCCCAGATCGAAGTAAGCACAGTGACTTTAGTCCTCTATTTCTGCTTCTGCCTTTTCTTCTTGAGTGATATTCTATGCTGATCAGATGAAGCCGGCTACCCCGCCTGCCCTGACACTGCGAATCTTTTCTCTCTCCTTAGGAGTCGCTGGGTTTCTGTAGCGCCGTGTCAACACCAGAAGTGGAGAGAAAGTAAGTGTCCCATTCTCTGCTCACCATCCAGAATTTCCAGGAAGGTGCCTTTTGGGTCTACACAGATGGAAATTGAGTGGGCAGTGGGGTGTGTGTGGCGTGGGGTTGGACATTATTTTCCCCTTGCGGGTCCTGTGCATGTGCATGCATGGAGGTGGCTCAGAAAGGATCTGCCATCCAGTTGGTGACACCTGAGGCTTTGGGGAAGAATTACTGATTACAAATGGTTTCTTGTGACAAAACCCCAAATTAAGAATTGGAAATAAGGGAGGAGACAGATAAGTCAACTGAGATGGGTTGTCGTGTTTTGTGACCATTTTAATATGGGATGGAAATCATAAAGAAGCCAAAAACCGGAATACCTTCCCAAGTAAAAAAAAAAAGAAAAATTAAAAACCCCTCCCCATACTTCATTTTCCCAGGTGACCTTAAAATAAGAATGAATATGTGTATGTGTGTGTGTCAGAAACTGGCAAATGCTCTCCAACCTTTCCTGTTAAAGGAAATCCTTTTGTTTCCTTGTCCTAACTTGGACCCTGTAATTTCTACTCTCATAGAGGATAATGCTATGCTTTTTCCTATATTTTCAGTATTTCTTTTAGGCAACTTAAAAAACCACACACACACAAAAAATGTGTTTTCCCTGCCGGTAACCCTTCCCTTTTCTACTTTTGTTATAATTATTCTAGAATGTTCTATTTATGATCTTCTGAGGTAAAGAAACTTAAAGAAAGTTCAGACCTCTAAACAGACACTTCCTCTGGCACCGAGCCACTTGCACTGTTTCGTGCCAAGAGAGGCATAGAAGGGGTTTAGGAATGAAGTATTTCTGGAATGAGAAGCACACGTTAGGAGAGCGTGTGTGTGCTTTGCAGCCCGGCTCTGCCTAATCCATCCACGTGTGTGTGCTGTTGGCACAGAGGCAGCTCCTGGGAGGAAAGGCGGCTTGGCCGGAAAGCTCCAGTTCTGAACGCAAGGGGCAACGTAGGTTTGGTTTCAGGACCAAGAACCACGGGGTGGATGTGCCAAAGAAAACCAAGGCCCTCGCCCGGTCAAGGGAGAGGATAAATGTGTCCGCAGCATGACTTTCTCTTGTTTGGGTTTCCTTGTGTCCTTTCAGGAACCCAGTGGCGTGGAGGCTGAAGTAGATAGGGGGTTCGAGTAGACATGGACTTTGAACACGGAGGTCCTGCGATGGTATTGAAGCACCTGAGTGAATGGCTGTGGCCCCCCGACCTGGTTGACCGCTTACGTAGCAAGAGTCAGGCAGAGAGGTCAGGTGTTCTCGGCATCTCTGAGTCCTTCAGGAAGCAAGAAATGCTTGTTCTTCCTCCTAGGAGGAAGTGACTCACTGAGTTTGTACGAACCTTCGTTAGGCTGGGTACTTCTCCTTCCCCTCAGCTGTGGGGAGTCATTCTTTCCGTGTTTAGATCCTTTCCTTAGCAAAATATGGCCTGACTCCTGTGGCCAAGAGAGAGACTGACGGCCTCCTGAGGTTAACAAAAAATTTTCAACATACATAGTCATGTGCACATACACTCCCGAGCCTGTCTGTCTCTGTCAACAGCCCCCGGCTCTTTATTTGTAAGATTGCCAATTTGCCTCTGTATTTTCAAATGGTTCAGACTTAGGTCTTCCTAAACATTTTAAAAATTTTTGAAACAGTTCATCCTTCTTTTCTCTATTCATGGTGTTTGACAGCTATGACACTCTTTTTTTTTTTTTTTTTTTTTTTTAAACTTTCAAAAACTTTTAACTTCCAGAAAAGTTGTAAGAACTGTGCGGTGGCTTCCATGTCAATTACACTTGGACTCACAGTTGTTGACGTTGGCGTGCTCTTGTCTGCCTGCCCTATACACAGTACCACTAATTATTATTATTGCTGAACCAGTTGAAAGTAAGTTGCACATGCCATGACCTTCAGACCTAGATACTTCAGCATCTATTTCCCAAGGACAAGGACATGCTTTGATAGAACCATAATCTAACTATCAAATATAGGAGATTTCATGGCTTTTCCTAAGACACATTTCATACTCAGGTTTGTCCGACTGTCCCAAAAATGTGTCTTGTGGCACTCACTTTCCAGTCCAGTACTTTAGAAAAAAATTACTCCTGTCCTGTCTTTTTGTCCACATTCAATCTGAGAGCATTTCTTTGTCTTTTATGGTCCTGACATTTCTAGAGACTGTGAGCCAGTTGCTTTGTGAAGTATTCCTTGAGTGAGGTTCCTTTGTTCCTTTTTTCTCCCCACATGAGGAATCACATGATGTTTGTTTGTCCCCTGATGGGTGATATGAATTTTCATCATTGATGAATGTGGTATCTGCCAGGTTTCCCCTGAGAAGTTACGATTTTTCCTTCTTAATGAATACATATTCTGTGGGGAGGTTATCTGAGTCTGTAAATATCCTGTTCCTCATCAAACTTTTACCTAATGGTTTTAGATTCTTTTGGTGATTCTTGCTCGAATCAATATTTAATGTAATGGTTGCAAACTGGTGATGATGATTCTTCAACTGAAGATTATTTTAGATGAAATCTTCTAAGCAGGTTTGTTTTTATTTTTGTATTTATTTCTAAGGATAAAGTATCACTGTGAAAGCCTAGGTCAGGTTATAATTTGAGTAGAATTGGAACACCGTTTATATTAAGAATGTATTAATTGGACTTGAAAATTTAAATATGTTCACATGGAAAATTCCACTGTTCCTCCCATCACAATGCTTGCTGGGAACTTTGCAGTTGAATATTCAAGCTATGGAGGATGACCTGGCAAACCAGTTGGTTGTGTCTGGTTAGTGTCCGCAAAGTGTCTGCCAACCAAAATACCATGCTGACTCATACTGTTGTTTTCTGGGCAGAAATTTTCTTCTACTTTTTATCCAAAAGGCAAGAGATAGCAGTAAACAAAAGCAGGCAAGTCCTACAGCAGCCCACCCTTAGAGACAGAGATACTGAGGGGGGACCCAGGGACTGGAGCAACTGGCCCCGTGGCTCCTGCGTTTCAGATCCAGTCTCCCCAGTTGTCTCTGGGACTTCAGCATATGCTCCTTCCTCCCCTTTCCCCAGCTAAACCTCTTCTGGGGGAGGGATGCATTATGGATTATGGCATGAATTTTGATGTGAATGTCTGTTTCTAAAAAACACATCACTTCTCCCAGTGGTATTTGGCATTAAACAGAGCTGAAGTTTAAAGTTACAGGAAGATAGCTCTGACCAGCAGAGGTGGAGGTGGTGGGTCTTCTGTGGGGGAGACAAGAAGTGAGAATTCTAGTACAACTGAGCCATCCCAGCATTGGACGACCTTGCCAAGTGGGCTAGCAGCTAGATGAGGTTGGCCTGCACAAACAGAGGTACAGAGATAGAGGCAGGTAGGCAGATCAGTAGGTAGGTAGGTAGGTAGATAACAAGAAAGAGTAGACCCTCCCCACCCCCATCACTAATGTAACAAAGGCCCCATTTGTTCTTAATGTCTTACTATCTCTCTGTTGTGCCACATTCTGTTATGAGAATATAATCCAGGGAGCTTTCATTAGAGCCTCTTCTGTCACAGCATCTATCGATGGGACTACTTTATTACACCAAACTTGAATCTGTGTCAGCTGGCCCAAAAGGTCAACATTAGCTCAGCTTCTTGTTACTCCACAGCTACTCTCAAGAATACCTGGAAAGCAAGGTTTTGGGGATGGGAGGCATTGGAGGTGGCTGGGAAATGTCAACATAATGATCTCTGAGGAATGAGACTGGCCATGAACAACAGAAACACTGACACATAGTGGGATAAATAAACATAGGGCTCACGAGACGTCTTTGCTCCGTGGGTAGGTCCACAGCTGGGCCTGTGGCTCAGCAGGCCTTTAGGAACCCAGACTATGCCCCTGTCCATTTTTTCCTCATGGCTTCAAAGTGCCTGCTGCATCTTCTAGGTGAGAAGAAACAGCAAAGTGTAGGGAAGATGGTAATTTGAAGAAGGCCAAAGGCACATTTCCCTGTCCTTTTTTCTCCCCTAGTACTGGGGATTGAACCCAGGAGCTCACGCATGCTAGGCGAGCACTCTACCACTGAGCTACCCACCTCCAGCCTGTGTATTCTATTTTGAGACAGAGTCTAAGTTGCCGAGGCTGCCCTCAAACTTGCAATCTCCCTACTTTGGCCCCCTAAGTTTCTAGGATTCCAGACATGTGCCACCATACCTGGTCCAAAGGCACATGCCTTTTAAAAGCTTTCCTAGAAACTCTACCCTGCTCATTCAGTTGTAATTCTCATTTCATAATTATTTATCTGATATATAAACTATCTAATTTATAATATAAATCATTTATATACATGATATATAATTTATTGAGTGTTTAGTATGTACCAAGAACTGATCTAATTACTTAACATTGACTGTTTATTATATAGAACAACACTGTGAAGTTCCATATGACATTATTCCTGCTTACAAATACAGAAATGGAACCACAGAGAGGTTACTAAGTTGGCTGCATAGCCACTAATAGCCAATCCTGAATTTGGTTTCATTAAGTACCCTGGCTCCTGACCACTCTAATTCTCAAGTATTTATAATTGTGTTGCTTCTGCAAATTGAGAGGTTAAGGGTTAGCCAGGTTTGTCAGCAATAAATAAAGAGCTGCGATTAAATAACTACAATCTGTGGTTCTTTTGGAACCAGGAGTAAGTTCTACTCTCATACGGTTATTTATCTATAGATGCAGGAGAGTCCAAAAGGAATCTCAAAACTTCACCTTAGCCAATATTTATAATTTGTTTTCTACTGGGCCTTTCACCAAAGTTGAAAATTCACTGATTTAGTTTCACTCTCTTTCATTACCTGTGACTTCAGTCGAACTGCTTTACAGTGAAAAAGTCTAAATACATACAGCACAAGTCACCAGGCAGATAAATACAAGGAGAGGGAGCCGGCAGGATGGGGGCCGTGGTTTGTGGACGTTCTGTGTGAGCATCGCGGCACCTGGGCATCACTTTGCTCTCGG